AGCACCTTTGTGGTCTAGTAGGTGACACACCTTATTCAGTCTGTTCCGTGACCCAATGGGGTAGCCCGCGCTGATAGGTTTGACTGGGCAGCCCTAAGCGACCTTGTTGGAGAGCTCAATTGCTAATCAAGGACCAAGCAAAATGACCAATATCTTGTCCATCTGATATTGATTAATCACATAATATGAGCTTTGTAAAACATCTGCTGTGATTTCTGTTTAATGTAGCAGATAAAAACAAGCAACTGAAGATAGGCTGTCATGAAAGTTATATGAGCTGTAGGAACTTGCAGAAAGACAGGCAGAAAGAGTGAACGGAGGAAACGCGCTGGTTGGACGTGATACATAATTTCTAGCAAGCGTGGTGCCGAATTCTTTATTTAAAAAATAAAAGATATGGAAGAATATTTTTAAAACAGAACCTATACCCTTTCTTAAATATTTAATTTGGAGCATTTCTAATCATAAGCTTTAAAATATAAGGAAAATGCACTTTATTTGGTAACTGATAATGTATACTTACATATTACCTTATATCTTACATAATTATACATATGTTATATAGTCTTTCCATTATTCGCACATCGTCAAAGGTATATTTTAAGTATTGGAACATCTGTCATGGTTCCGAAGAAATACTCCTAAAACCCAGTCACGGGGTGAGTGAGTGACATGGTGTCCTGCTCTGGTGAGATGACACCCTCCCCGCCAGGTGCTATTATTGCCTAAATGTCACCAGTCACTCAGCACGTTTGAAGTGCAGGCTTAGTGATGTTACTGAAAAAAAATCCAAGAAAACTTAAGTTTGAGTCCCTGCCCTTCAGGATGTAAGAATTCCGTTGGGGAAATAAGACATGTTTGCAACCACCTTACAATGAAAAGCAGTCTGGACAGCCTCCGGTTTTTACCACTTCAACCTCTCTTCTTTGACTTCTTCAGAAACCGCCATTCATTCAACAAGTATTTATTGTGTATCTATCCTTGTGCGGTCCTTAGGGGGTTGAAAAATGAATTAGACGTGAACCTAGCCCATGGAGAAGCTAACAGGGAATGTGAGACCTATGTGATTGGTTGTAATACAGAAGAAAGTAAAAGAACCATGAAAGAAGGAACAGATAAACTAAGACTCAGAGAAGAAATACCCGACTTCTACTCGAAGAGAACAATAGGGTTGTCATCTTTCTTAGAACTTAAAATGCATAGGATCTGGGTATGGAAAGATGGAGGAAAATGCCTTTCTGGTTGGAAGTGACTGAGCATACTTGGGAAGGCAAGGGGGTCAAAAAGGGGACAGCAAGTGTGACCACAGTAAAGATGCATGAAGGGGATTCGTGGGGAAACGTTTGCAAAAATATTTTTGGGTGATCGTGGAACAAGTATAGCATTCACCTTTAGAGTTCGCCGTATGTTTTATAGGCATAAGAAAGCCGTTTGGAGTTTTCCAGGAGTAAAATGACATATTGAGAGCTGTTTCAGGAACCTGGTGACTCTGGAAAGTCTGCTTGTCTCATCTGGAACTCAGAGCCACTGTATCCAAATGTTTCTCTCAAGTCAATGCAAAGCCTGTATCAATGGAGGAGTGTAAAGCAAAGTTTTGATGGTTCTAAGGTGGATTGGCCCACCTGCCTTAGATTCTAAGTGCTTATCTCCATGTCTGGACCCTGTTTTCTGTTTCCTTGTGTCAGTTTTGAACCTTGGCCATAAAACTTTCCCTGGATATTCAGTTGTTCTTCCTCTGAGAACTTGAAAGAGAATTTTCTCTCTGTTCTCAGTACCAGTAATAGCTACACTTTTCTAAGCAAACTTTTCTATCTTGAAAACACTCCAAGTAACTCATCTTGTTTTTCTCTTTGTTTTGGCAACTAGATAATTTAGAACCAGATTTGCGGCCTGCTTTAAAAATACATGGAACAATACAGCAGGCACTTTATCCACTAACCTCACATTTGGCTTTATCTTATCTTTCCCACTTTCAGGTTTCTGTTATACTACCTTCCTTTCTGGCTACATTTAAATTTATTTTATCTTGTTATACTTTATAAACTTACCCTATCTTGAATAAGTTGGTATAGATAAATACACTGCTCCAACTACCTCTACGTCCTGTGTGTGGGGATCTCTAGAGCCAGAACTGTCCCCCCGGGAGTCCTGGGCTTTTGCGTGTTTGTGGTCTGCTGCAGAATTCCAGTTTCAGTCCTTCAACTCACTGACTCAGACTCTGCGCTTACTCTGTCCTATCACATTTTAGATGGACCCTAGCTTTTACTATCTGGAGCTGTTTTATCAGTAGAGCTCCTAATTCTGCAGTCAAATCATCTGAGGTCCCAGCCGACAGGACATACCGTGCTGTTATTACCTGGACAGACTCCTGGAAAGAGCGTGGCTCTTGGCTCGCCGCCTCCCTCGGACATCGTACGCTCGCAGTCAATATGGACCAAGGCACGGAGTGACCTAGAGAAAGCCGCCGCAGCCCTAGTTATTGTTGAAACCTTAAAGGGAAGCTTTCCCCCCATTTATATTTGTATTTACTTTAAGAATAAGAATCTTAAATGCAACACATTGAAGTATTTGATGGTAATATAGCTTAAAATTATTTAATTTTCAATAGCGATCTTAACATCCATAATGCTTTACCGTGTACATAGCGCTTTCCCCTGCCATTGGCAGCGCATACTTGGGACACAGAGGCTTGACCAGTGTGTGTGGGGTGGCTAAGTGCATGAATGAATGAATGAATGAATGAATGAATGAATGAAGAGTGCATTCCACTGACTCTTCGACCTGCACTCATAGCGAGATGGGGCGTTACTACTGCTGTATTGCAGATGAGAAAACTGGGGATCCCTCTCATGATGCCTGGCAGAATTAAATGCGATATTGTGACTTCTACTGCACTGCTCTTTTCCCTACATAGTATAACATCTAATGCATAATTTATACTATGTACAGAATATATAGAATTAATTATACATCATTATATAGAATAAATTATATATTCTATATGTGATATGTGGAATAAATTATATATTCTATATATGCTATATGGAATTAATTATGTATTTTATAATGCCACTCTTTCATGGAGCCATGGTTAAACACATGGAGTCATCTGACCCAACCTTCTTCTTTTTTAGGCACAATCTTAGTAATTTTCCTTTTGAAATGCTCTCCCTATTTCCATTCCATTGGCCCCCTCCCCCTAGTCTAGGCCCAGGAAACTAGTTTATCTGATAAGCAGCTTCTTGAAATGTTCCTGAAAGACACCCATGGAGATTCTAATCCTCACCACTGGTGCTGGGGAAGACAAAGCTAATTAATTACTATAGGTACCTGAATAGTAAATCTTCAACAACTTCTAAACTGTTACTTTCATTTTTTCTAACACCATTAAAACTGTGTGTTCATTGAACCCTGCCATTCCCTCAGAGGCAAATTTCAATATAACTGTGACTTGGGCGCATAGTTTTTCATGAGCACCAAAGCAATGGACTGAGCAAGATTCCTCCAGTTTCTGGTATGGGGATCCTCAAGAATAGAGACTGGGCAAGGAAGCAGCTCTTACTTAGGTGGTATCTCTGCCCCTCGTTTCAAGAGTAAGAAATTATTAGTTGTTAAATGATATGATATGGATTATTGGAGACCACTAGAAACATGCAGTAATTACAGATGTTACATGCTATGGGAGGAGTTATTTTAATTGTTGTACCCTGTAAAGAGATATGATAATATGTATTAAAACTATACTATATCATGTGTTCATTTCATGCAACCAGAATTACAATGTTAGGCTATAATGTTTGGCTTACTCACTGCTGGAGTTCACATTGCAGATGAAAGATAATCGCTATGTTTCCTATTCTCTTTTAATAAGTGCATTTATATTAATAGCATGATTTAATACCACTTTAAAATTATAGTGCCCTTTGAACTGCATTTAGTAAAAAATTAACATCTTTTGTCTGTGGAACCATAATACATTTGGTGTTAAATTAAGGAGTCATCTGTTTCCTAAAATGCAGTATTTGTGAATTCTAGCATTTCCAAAGCTAGATAATGAGATTGCAAAGTAGGTTTCAGAATTTGTAAACTTTAACTTACAACTTCTTAGCTTCAGGTAGTTCTTTCCTGGTTACAGTCTAGCCTTGTGCTGACATTTTTAAGTTGCTGGACCCTCTACGAACAAAATTCTGGTTTAGCACAAAACGTTGGTACCACTGACAAAGTGGCCCAAGCCACTCTGGTCACCTAGGACTTACTCTGAAATGGAGTTCTACTGCGCGCTGTGAAATTGGAAAATCTGTTCTGTGTGTGTTCTAATGGATGTAACGGTCATTAAGTATATGAGTCTTCTGACGTAGTAATCAGATGTGATTCAGTCTGTTAAATATCCATGAAACAACATCTGCTTCACGGAGTGACCTTCTGCTGAAGAATACTTAGCATCTATTAGTGGATCACAGTGCAGATCTGCCGTATTTGGAATGCACGAAACTGGAGGAGTCTACTGCTGTTTAGCAACTAGCTTGTAATAATTTATTGCAGTTAAATAAAGCTTAAAAAAAACTCCATTAAATAATTATAGGGATTATATGTGTTTCGAAAACCTTTGTGTTCTACTGAAATTACCCATTTAATTTTAGGGTCGGTTTGTTAAAAAAAGCTGAAATCTAAAGGCACATTAGGGGAGTTGTCAGATGCTGTTTTCTGTAGGTGTTAATAAAACCAGATGAAAAAAAAAATCTGAAACAAATTAAAACCAAAAGCAGCTTTACCATCTGTTGTGTATTAATTAGAACTTTGTGCATCAAGGGTAAACTTGCTCTTAGAGAATGTCACTGAACACCCGCTTAATAGAATAATATGCAAATTTATCAGGTTACGGATTTATGTGCAGTTTTAGATTCTAATTCCTGTACCGCGGATCCCCAAGAAGTCGGGAGTGTGCGTCGGTGTGGACGTGCATGCACACATATATAATGACTTTTCTTCTTTGTTTTCAGAGCAACCTGCAAACAACCAAGGCCAGTCCACCCTGCAGCCATTGCCACCTCCCCATAAGCAGCATCCCGCTCAGCATCACCCATCCATCACCTCTCTCAATAGAAACTCCCTGACGAATAGAAGGAACCAGAGTCCGGCCCCGCCGGCTGCTTTGCCCGCCGAGCTGCAAACCACACCCGAGTCCGTCCAGCTGCAGGACAGCTGGGTCCTTGGCAGTAATGTACCACTGGAAAGCAGGTAACTCCTCCCCGGGAGGCCGCCGCAGCGCCTGATTGTTAGGGCCACACAGGGAATGCTTAGTCTGCGACGGTCAGCAAAATGTTAAGACAAACCTGTCCAACCCTTATCTTACGAAGAGAAAGGTGTCAAACGTATATACCCTTGTTTGTCTTTCCTAAGGACAGTTGCAGGTTATTGGTAATTGTTTGATTGCTGGGCCAATGAAATTGTCCTTGCTCTTATGTTTTGTCCTCGTGTACAAATCAGCAAACGTGTTTAGGAAAGGGTGGAGATGTAAAAGGCGACTCTCAGTCCCACGGCTCCGTGAACGTGTTTAGCATCTGCTTGGCACTAGACGTCCCAACTTTTCACAGACTGGACTGTGCCCGTTACATCACGAATTCAGAGTGGATTCCCACGTATGATACTTCAGCATGAGTCAGGTGGCTGCTCGCTAAGGATATTTTAGTTTCTTGTATGAGGGGGATGGGACCCACTCGCTGGAGATTCTCCTATCATTCTTCCCTAAAATAGTCCATCCACTCTTCAGCAGTCCGCTAGCAAATTCTTCCTCAGGAAGAACTGAAATCTCCTGTTCTGAAACTTCTGTCCTCTGCTTGGAATCTTGCAGACAGTAATCTGTAACCATCTAAAATAATCTGCCCATTTCTATATGATGACTTCCCTTCTGGAGGCTTCGCCAGCTGCTTGCACTTGTCTGTACCCCTACACTGGGGTTCCCGTGAACTTCTTACATTAGGACTTCTAGCACAGGTGGGCCCACGCATGGCAGCCTGTCCCTGCAAAAGTATAGTTCAGTAAGAGGGGTTGTGAGCTGATCTTTTTCATTATTGAATACCTCCAGGTACAAAAATTCCCTTCTGTCTTTGGACAGAATCTCAAGAGTTATGTCTCCGTTACATCGTGTGCCACACAAGCCAAGAGTGCGGATCCTGCCTCACTGCTCTCTCTTCATCAGCTTCGAGGCCAGGTGCCCCCAACATTACCATTAGATTCATTTCTGCGCTGCCCTATGCTTCCATTAGACTCAGAGGGAATGGATCCTCACCACGTAAATGCCAGAAAGAGGACTCTGGACATCCTGGGAGAATGTCCCCAAAAACGCCCCGCTCTGTAGAGCACCCCCTGCAGCCCCTGATGTCAGCTTTTAAATCAGCTTCTGGAAGAAAAAATGGTCTCACAAAGCATACCTTTCTTTTTGTGCCATTAAATTCATGATGTAAACCAATTTGGCCCTGAGGATGAGCTGGCAGGAGGTCCTTGTAGTTAGTTGTCAGCAATAAAGATCTTGCTGTCTTTTCTTTTACTTTCGACCTGAGAACAAGGTTGCAAAATGCTTTTGTCTTTTTATCTGTAGCATCGGCCAAGAGTAGTTGAAGTTTATTGTTTGTTTTGTGTTATCGAACATTCTTCTGGGAGAAATTAGAAAGTACAGGAAAAGTAGGCAAGCAGCAAATTTCTTCACTTAAGATGGAGTCATGTACACAGTTTTTTTTTCCCCCTAAGGTTATTAGCAAAGAGCTAAATTTACCCAGTGTAATTAATTAGCACAAGCTGAACAACTAATCAACACCGATTCAGTACTGTCATTTGGAAAATTTTTATTAGGAAAAAAGTAATTTTACAGTTGAGTCATCAAATTGAATGTGGATAATTGCATTGTAGTTGACAATAATTGTTTCGACAAATGTTTATGAAATATGTCAAGTTAAGTCATCAGAAGCATGTTTAATTTTAGGGATGTTCTATATAGCACAAAAGGCTCAAAAAACCTGAGTGTCAACTGGAGAGTTGCTGTTCCTTGAAGCCATATCTTGTAGTGAAGAGATTTGGAATAGTTTTGGAGAAAGATAAGATGTGTTCTTGTCATTCCTCATATCTTATTAATGAATTTTGGTTAAAGAAAAGTTAAGCGGCTGTTTAGAGCACAACCCACTGCAGAGATAGATAGATAGATAGATAGATAGATAGATAGATGAAGTTGCAGCTGGTTTCTCCATATTCGGAAATCACCCAGAGCAATATCAAAGCAACACCATGTGAAATTCCATTTCAAGGCAATGCTATTGTTGAACCATCATTGGAATGACATTTTATAGTTTTATGAATCGACACAGGTAGAAAATCTACCAGATGATATTACCTCCTATGTGGATAAAGAATAATGAATCCAAACATTGCATATCCTGCTAAAAATGTTATTTGATAGCATGATTCTGTTTTCTCGTTGAGTGCCCACGTCCAGTGCTCTTACAGCTGCTCGATAGACCTGGCCTTCACCCTGGGGGCGCGGAGGGGCGTGGACCTCAGCACGGCGGCCCCGCTGTGGTTCTCTGCAGTCTCGCCGGGCTGGAGCTCTGCAGATGGGGCCCAGCCTCCTCCGTCATCGAGTTCCCCTTTTCCAGTGAAGGTTCCCAACCGAGCGTGGCTCTCAGGGCCCATGTCACCAGGAGGAGCAACTTTATGTAGACTTACGCCTGCCTTGGCCAAGTGTTTAGTCTACTGTATAGCTTCATCGTTGGCTTGTTTTTATTTTTTTACATATGTTCATTTTACTGATTCTCACTTTTCTGAAACTGCCCGTTAAAGGACATAAGCTAGAAAGTATGGAATTCGGTGCTTGTAGCTAAGAATCTCTGTATTTTCTCTTTGTCTCCTCCCCCTCCCTCCTGCCAGCATGTGGATAGCAGTCGGTTGCAAACTGGCAGGTCCTAATCCAGGGAAATCTTAGCAACATGTAGAATTTCAGTTTCTAGAGGTTGTAGAGAAGACATAAATATTCCCTACCTTGTACTGATTCAGCATAGCTTTCCTTTTGATTTGGTAAAACGCAGCTTTTTCACCAGCCGTTTCTCACTTCCATAAAAGCGTTTGTTTCCTTTCTCTAACGAATTTAACATTCGCCGCTGCTGGAGACGGACGGTGTTATTGTGTGCTGAACAGTCCTACCCAGACGAGAGAGCAGTTCTGGTCTGTGATCTCCAGTGAGCCCCGGATCCCCTGGAGTCGCACGAAGACCCAAACACGCGTTGGCAGGGTGTAAGCACGTCTTCATTACCGCGCCGTCGCCTGTCAATAACTGTCAGTGCCTCGATACAATACCAACACTCGCTTGGAATTTTCCTTGAAAGTCCTTTTCTTTGAGCTTGCTGTTTCTTGTGTTTTTTCTAATTCGCTGTCAGGCCATTTGCTAGCCTGTGGCTTCTCCTTCATTTATTTTATACCTCAGCTGCTGCGGCGCATAATAGTGGCCTTGACCAGACTCTGGGGCAGCTGAGGAAAAGCGTAGACTTGACCGACCCAGGGTAGCACAGCACTTACAGGTGCAGCGCGGTAACTCTCATTGGAGCCCTGACCTGCAGCAACTGTATGGTTAATTGCCTGCGAGGTCCTCATTTGTACATGCGAATTAAGGAGCCTAGCAGTTCCCTATTAGATGTTAACAAAACGGTTCATTTGTAACCATTTAATAAAACATTTATTAAACTCTTGTTTTATTATGAAGTGTACTTTGGCATCGATAGTTCATTAGTTATGTTCCCATAGCTTTTTACCTTGTAGTTCAAGTAATGCTTTGCTAATTATTAATGTATGAAATTGCATATTAAATTACCATTTTATTATTGCATGTTTAATTTAAACATCAAGATGTCCTGGGCTACTTTAATGTGAAATCAATGGCTACGTCTGTAAAAACATAAAATACCTAACCAGAAGTATCATTTACTAAACCGATATTCCCTTTTTTTCTCTTACTTTAATCTCCACTCTCAGTGGTTCTAGAGAAAAGCAGACAATCCTTCAGGCATCAGGCTGTCAGACTGGCCCATTAGAAGTGTGAGCTCAGCCTCCACACTGCGGCCGCACTGGACCAGGGGACAGTTTTCCCGATAGAAAAACTGCACCCGCACCTGCGTGTGATAACCAGCTACCTTTAGCAAGGTCCTAAGTAGTGAGATTCTCCGTAGTTGAAGGTATCAAGTAAAATATCCCTGGAGAGGTAACCCATTGACTTATGTTTACTCTGCAATGTCTTATCCTTCTCTTCAAGTTTGGGGAGACCCCAGGGTATCTGTAAGGGAAGAGAACATCACAGGATATGGAAAGGAGATGCAAAAATGAAGAAGCTAAGATTACTAAACACAGACTTCAAAACTGGACCTGGGCCTAGGCTAAGAAATTCTTAATTAATATTTAAAAGTCTCACCATCTCCATTTGTTAAAAAGAAATTTTAAAAAATCTGTAAACTCATCTAAAGTAACATAATAATAAATATTAGAAGTCAATTGAATCCTAGATCTTTTCAAATATTTCATCTTTAGTGCATATGGTATTTCTTAAAAGGCTTGCGAAGGGATGTGTGTGCATCTATAAGGGGTGTGGAAAGACAGGGAGAGGGAGCTGTGGTGTGTAATGGTTTGCAGGAGGTGTTTATATTTAAGACTCATTTCCATTTGTGGCTTAAACACTTTTTCTTGGCGGGAGGAGGAAGCTATTAGAGCCCTCAGTCAGTGCCTGTGTGCTATGCTGGCCGTGCAGGTTTTCCTCAAAGCAGGACAATTTGAGAGTGAAAGGAGAACAGGAACAAATACCCTGGAACGGCAAGCGTAAACGGAGGCTGTCCCGGGCAAAAGGGGCTGTGTCGGTCACGTGCCTTTGAAGCCATGGTGTCCTACACCTCAGGGAAAGACCTAGACAGAGGTCGGTGAGGGGCAGTGGAAAAGCCATTAGCTGAATACAGGTGTGACTCCCAACGTGAATTTTTCTCATTTCTGTTGCCAACTCCTAGCAAACGTTTTACCCATTGTCACCTCCTTTACAGAAGGAGCTTCTGTTGACCACCAAAATATGTAACTCCTAAAGTAATGCATAAGGGATTTGCCTCTATTTTCTGCTCACAATATTAAGAGGACAATAGGGAACGTATATTGAAGTTATCATACTGCATGAAATTTTTTTTCAAAAAGTTCAAATTTCATTTTTTAACTGTAAAATG